AAGCAGACAGGAATAAACCCAATAATTTTTTCCCTGTAAGGGAACCCTATTTACAGATACAATGCACATTTTATATCCTATATTAGTATCAGATGTACTATAAGAAATTTTATAGTCAAAAGTAGAACATAATACAAAACAAAAAATTGGTGCAAAAAAAGTTATCTGATCTCACAAATTTAAAAGCTGTTTTAAATTTTGCTTAAAATTTAAACATTTTAAAGTGTTTAAAAGTTAAACATCACTTCTAAAACCAAAGATAAGCTTTCAGAATAACAAATCCCTGCATTTCTAGCTTTCAAATAATGTTATCGATAAAAAAGCATCATACACATTCTTGGAGACTCAAAGAAATGATGCCAAGGATAAAATAACATGCCCTAGAAACCCAGGTGCCACTTCCAGCTGCAGTTCCTGCTGCAGAGGCACCACCTGCCTGCCAGGGACGTCCTGCATGAGCCTATTATGCTGGTCAGGCTTCAGTGGCCCTTTCAGATTAAAGAGGGTTAAGAAAGGCTTGGCCACATACTTCTGAAATTTAGCCTATTAAAACGCTGTGGCAGGGGTGCTCACACTCTTTTAGCATGCGAGCTACTTATAAAATGATCAAGTCAAAATGATCTACCAACTGCAAAAATGCAAAACATCTATTTTTACTTATTTTTATTCATAAATGCATTGAGAATTCTATGTACAGTGTATATTTATGTACCTTGCATAACCGCATTAGTCCATACTGCACAACACAACATAATTAAATATGTACATTTTTTTGTCGTTACCTGAGTTTACTGATGACTTGCACTGAATAGCATGAGCCAGGGATGCATAGTCCAGACAGTAGCTGCTGACAGCCAGCCTTAAGCATACTTCCAAATGATCATCAGTCATGGAGGAATGGTACTTGGACTTAATGATCTTTATGTGGGAAAAGGCTGACTCATATAAATAAGTAGAGCCAAATAATGCAGTCAAGGAGGTAGCACATTTTCTCATGTTTGGGTACTTTCCCTCTGCGAGTATGTTCCCAAACTGTTCATGCACTCTGGACTTCAGCTGAATGTCGACTTGTAGTGTCAGAATCTCCCATTTCATATGAAAGTGATAGGTTTTGTCTTCTTACTTGGTCCAGCTCCCCCACTCATTTTAATACCCTTTCTTACGTTGAAGGGGAAAAAACGAAGGTCTAAAAACTGGTGATAACTTAAGCTTATCAGTTTTGCTGCACTTAGTGCAATTGTTTGCGCATGCGTTAGACACCTAAGATTGCATCTGATTGGCTGCGCTGTATATCAATTAAGTGATGGGATTGATAATAGGCTTGCATCTATTTTTTTAATGCCATGCGATCTACGCCATACTACATTTGCAATTGACTAGTAGATCTTGATCGACGTATTGAGCACTCCTGCCCTAAGGGGAATCAAAGACACTTTGATTTGAAATCAATAATGGTGATCGTGCAGGCCCAGGCAGCATTTTGTCCAGTCGTGTAGGGGGCCCAAGAACAAGTGTCCCTGTCCATTTATGACTTCCTTCTAAGGAGCTCTGGTGGCTCAATCAAGTGTTGGACTGCTAACCAAGAGGTTGGCAGTTCATGCCCATCTGTTCTGGTACAGATTTATAGTCTTGGAAACCCTATCAAAGGTATCAAGGCTCCTGGATGAACTAGTTTTCTAAATGGTCCTCTAGATCCTAGGTCATTTAATCTTAACAACAGCAGACAGAGATATACTTTTTTCAGATTCTCTTACATTATCCAAGGAGTCCCTGGGTAGTGCAAAAGGTTAACTCTGTTGGCTGCTAACTAAAAGGTAGGTGGTTTGAGTTTACCTACAGACACCTCAAAAGGTTTTGCAATCTAACATGAAAAAGTAGCCATTTTAAACCCTCTTCTCTGACCCATTGGGTTACCAGGAGTCAGTTAGCTCAATGGCGACTGCTTCACACGATCTGCCCTGATTCTTTCTGATCTGATCACTGCCAACTCTCACCTCTTCCTCATTCTGCTCCAGTCCACTGGCTTCCCTGCTGCGGTGTGAACTCCCACAGACAAGTCTTCAGGTCCTCAGACTTCCCTTTGCTAGGACTGCTTCTCTTCTCCGGCTCAGATGGCATCCTCCTCTATACTACATGAAGGCCTTTGGTCAGATGCCACCCTCAGCAAGGCCTTCCTTGTCCAATCTAGCTAGCTAGCTAGCCAACACGGTAAAACCCACACAAGCCAGAATTGAGCAAGGCAGGAAATCTGCCAGAGGAAAACTCACACATTTTCCAATAAAAGAGAGTCAAAGAAAAGTGAAAAGACAGCATCCCATCAAAGGAAGAAGACCCAGGAGACCCAGAAATACAAGGCAGTTCTACAGAATACTGGCTCTCACTGGTTTCTATGCAGTAACTCTTCAGTTAAAGCAGACTTTCTGTCCACTATTAGACAGACTAGACTGGAGGTTCATCATTACACAGTCCACTGATGAGATCCCTGGAATTTAGAGCAGTGCTTGGTACTGTGAAACATGTACTGGATAAATGATTATACCTAGCAAGACATTATGGAAAATCAGGGCTACCAGTGCTATGGCAAACTAGAGTGATCATCACTCTATATTGTAACAATTTACAAAAGTTCTCAATTTGGTCTATTATCAAAAAGGAACTATAAATTGTCCCTCCAATGAAATCATCAAGGACAGTTAACTTTGCTCAATTAATTTCTTAATTTACTTCACTTCACTTTCTCTTTACTTATTTAACGTATACACTCAAGTATAAGTGACCCGAATATCAGCCGAGGCACCTAATTTTATCACAAAAACTTCATTAAAAATGTGCTAAAAAGCTCGGCTTATACACGAGTACATACGGCACTGAGGTTATCGCCACAAGATACAAGTGTAGTTATTTAGCTACAAAGCAGAGGTAAGAATTAATGTCCTTGAATCACAAACTTAAAATTAAAATGGCAAATATTTTGTTATTTATTTATTGACATTTTTCTTGAAGGGCCAACCCAGAGAAAAGTATGTGAGTCTCCCAATAACCAAACCACCCCACCCCCCACCCCCGCTCCTCATTAAATATTTGTACTCCTAATCTTCCAGGTTGTCCTGTGGGTACATTTCCCCTCCCTTCAAGGGTGCCCTGGACTAAATGGTGGGGAAAACATGAAGACACAATACTCAAGCTCTCTAAACCCTAAGTGATGACTTCACACAGTATTTTTGGATCAGTCAAATTCAAAACAGAACTTATCTTCTTGTGCCCTGTCTGTATGTAGTGAAGAGAGCCTTGGGCTTGCGCTCCAGGCATCTGGACACTTCCTGCCAAAGCTCCACGTTAATTACACTATGTACTCTGTCCCCTTGTGAGTTAAGATGAGATTGGACCAAGACATGTTCTCTCAAGCCCTGCCTTAGTAGAAACCCAGTGTTTAACAACTAAAACTAAATGCCTGTAATATCCAAGGAGCTCTCGTAGTGTACTGGTAGTGGTTAATCCTGGTGCTGCTATCCACAAGGTCAGCAGTTTGACACCACCAGCTGCAATTTGGGAGAAAGATGAGGCTTTCTATTCCCAGACAGAGTTACAGTTTCAGAAACCCACAGGGACAGTTCTGCTCTGTCCTATAGGGTCACTATGAGTCAGAATGGACTCCATAGCAATGAGTCATATTCGAGGACAAAATAAGAGTCCATTAAAATTTTTGTTCTGTATTTTTTCCCATTACATTGTGGGCATGCCAGTTTTATCACCACTTATGCATTCACAGAGTTAAAAACAAACAAAACAAAACCGGAGGCATCTGCTGTATGAACTAACCCTCACACACAAAAAATATATTTTTTTTAAAAAGTGCCTTCCTGATTTTATAGACCAATGTGAGGAAAGGTTACATAACTTGAGCGAGCTCACGACGTAAATGGTGGGTCTAGCTAGTAATCCACACTCTCCGAATTCCAAAGTCTAGCCTCTCTAAGTTTACACTCTTTTCAACCCAAGGATGCACTAAAATATTAACAACAGAAGCTTACCTCCCAGGTCACTTTTTGGTTTGTCACTATGTATTTCTTGACTGATTTCTTGGTAATGCTTATGTGTCATGCGAACATCTTTTTATTGTTTGGTCTCTTTTTTGAACTTAGTCTTTTTAAGGGCTAGTGGGTTAAGCACTGGGTTGGCTAAGTGCAAAATCAGCAGTTCGAAACTACCAGCAGCTCCACGGGAGAAAGATTTTGAGTCTCAGAAACCCACAGGGACAGTTCTACCGTTCAATAGGGTTGTTATGAGTTGGACTCCGCTCGATGGCAGTGAGGCAAGGGTCGTTCCCCCACCCCCTCGCCCCTTCCTTAACATGATTTCCATAGGCACAACCACCCAAGCGAGGCTGGGACCCCCAAATGGAATGTGCCACGAGCTCTCTGCTAGTTTTCCAGCTGAGAGGATGGAATGGATGGAAATACTTCTGCCACCAGTTTAAAACCTAGGCACCTGCTTATCGGTAAGTGACCTCTAAGGTGAAGAGGCAAAATCACGTCCCTACAGCTCAAGGCGGCAAATCCACGGGCAAACTGGGCAGTGAAGAGAGCTGGCTGCCATCTGCAGACCTTCCGGGCACTACTTTGTTCTTGTTCTTCCAGGTGCAGCTTTGAGGGTCAAATAAGACTCTGGTACCAGCGGGCATCGAACTCCAAGACACATGGTGTCCAGGGTCCGATTCTGCAGAATTCTAGAGACCTGAGGGGTGCGTGGGGGTGGTCCAAGCCTCATTTTCCCACGAAAGGCCGACGACTAAAGTGCTGGCGCGGGCGAGAAGCACTCGCTTTCCGGAATCCGCCCGGCCACACCCCCACCCCACTCCGCCGTCCTCCGTGGCTCCACTAACACTCCCGGGAGAGAAGGGCTTCCCGGGAGTCCCTTCCCTCGAGACCCGAAGGCCACAGGAACTCAAACTCAAGAGTCGCATCTAGGCGCGGCTTGGCGGCCACGCTCGGGGCGCTCACCGTTATTCTCGTCTCGGTGCCGCCGCCGCGACATGCCGCACGCCGGTGCACTTCAGAGCCGAGAAGCCGGGCAGGAGGCGCGGCGGGAACCGTCCGGCGGCCGGCGGCGCGAGGACAGAGGCAGGGCGCGCGGAGCCGCTGGCGCGCAGGCGCACTTGCTCGCTCCGGTTCCCGGAAGCGCTAGCAGGAAGGTCAGCCTGAGGGGGCGGGGAGCAGCTCGGCGGCCTCGGCTCCCGGAGAAATGGTGTCGGGAAGCCAACCCGGCTGCGAGCGTTTGGTCGGCTGGTCACCGCCTTCCGCGGCCTTTCCTTGCTTCCTGGCAGCGTCCTCTTCCCGCCTATCACTCAGTGTCCTTCCGGGGCCTCCCAGAAGGCGCACCGCTTTAGCCAATCAGAAGCCGCGGCCGGCCGGCCCCGCTCGGAGGCGACGAGTGGACTCGGAGTGACGCTCTTTCCGCCTCGGCTCCGGTCCTCCGGTTCTCTCAATGGTTTTCCCGGCGGCCCTTTCGCTAACAGTCTCAAAGACTTCCGGAGCGGGGTGACGTCAGGTCATTGGTTCTAACTTGAACACAGAACTGGAGTTTTCTGTCCGAAGTGCAGCGGGCAAGAGAAAATTGCTAGGCGGACACAGTTCCGGGAAGAAAGACCTCAGGATAGATCGGCCTGGCAGGTCGGTACTCACCTGGGTCAGACCCATCCCAAGGGGTGGGGCCGGGATGGGAGCGGTGCCGCGCGTGCAGTGCCACCCGCTGCGATGGAAGATCGGCCCTGACTGAGCCTCCTGTTTCGGGGTTTGCCCACTGGCTGTCATTTTAGGAACAAGCTGATTGTTTTAGTTCCGATTTTCCTGTCTTTGGCGACTATGTTTGGAGACTGTCTCCAGCCTCGACGTCCCTCTGGGCACCGCACCAACTAATCCATCTGCCTCGTTCATAGTCATCTGAAATTGAATTCGTTTAACCCTCCGGTCCTAACCTATTCCTCCTTCAGGTTTATCAAGTCCAGTAAACAGCACGATCCATCTGGCTGCTTAATCCAAAGATCGTGGCTAGAGTCATTCTTGAACCTTCTGTTTCCTTCACGTCTACATAACCATCTCTTGTCAATTCTGCTCCCAAAACAAAGCCACATTGCGTAGTCAATAAAACATGAGTAGACATCTTTCTAGTATTCTCTGCCTTCACTCTGTCCATCTGACATCAGTAATGATAACTCATGTGCAACATCTTCTGATCCAGCCTGAATCTCTTAACAGCTCTCATGTCAATGGACTGCTACAACCGTTGCTAAATGATCTTCAGCAAAATTTTACATGCATGTAATAGTAATAATATTGTTCTATAATTTGAGCATTCTGTTGGGTCATCCTTCTGTGGAATGGGTACAAATATGGATCTCTGCCAGTCAGTTGGCCAGCCATGTAGCGTCTTCTAAATTTCCTGGCCAAGACGAGTGAGTGCTTTCAGTACATCAGCTTGTTGAAACATTTCAATTGGTGTTCCATCAATGCTAATGCTTATTTTTGGCTAATGCTTTCAGGCCAGCATGGGCTTCTTCCTCAAGTACTCTTGACTCTTGCTCTTTTGCTGCCTCTTGAAATGGTGGAATGTCAACTAGTTCTTGTGGGTACAATGACTGTATTTTTTCCATCTTCTGATGCTTTCTGCATCATTCAACATTTGCTCATAGACTCTTTCAGTGTTTCAACTTGAGGCTTGAATTTTTTCTTGAGATCTTTGAAGTTTAATATATGCTGAGTGTGTTCCTTTTTGTTTTCTAACTCTTTTGTTGCACGTTTTATTATAATAACTTTGTTTCCTCCAGCTGTCCTTTGACTGTTTCTGTTCAGCTCTTTGACGTCATCATTTGTTCCATTTGCCTTAGCTACTCCACGATTAAGAGAAAGTTTCAGAGACTCTCTGGCGTCCACGTTGATCTTTTCTTTCAGTGCCCTTTTGCTTTCTTAATGAATAATGTTTTTGAAGTCCTCCCACAGCCCATCAGCTCTTCTCCTTAGTGTTCAGTGTATCCAACCTGTACTCAAAGGGGTTCTCAAAATCCGGGTGAGATATACTCAAGGTAGTATTTTGGCATCACGAACTTGTTTTAACTTCTTCAGCTTCAATGTGAGCAATGGACGGTCTGTTCTACAGTCAGCCCCTGGCCTGGTTTTAGCTGCTGATATTGAGCCTTTCATGGTTTCTTCCCCCAGATGCTGTCCGCTTGATTTCTGTATATTCCATCTGGAGAAATCCACATGTAGAGTCACCTCCTATGTTGTTGAGAAAAAGATATTTGCTCTGAACAAGTCGTTGGTCTTGCAAAATTCTATCCTGTGATCTCCAGCTCCGCTTCCATCACCAAAACCATATATTCCAACTGTGGTTACTTCCTCTTTGTTTCCAGGTTTTGCATCCCCATTGCCAGAAATTACCAATGCACCTTGATTACCTGTTTGCTCACTCTCGGACTTAAGACATTGGTAGAATTCTCCAAGTTCTTCTACACCAGCTTTGATGGTCAGTGCACAAATTTGAATAATAGTTGTGTTGATTGAATTTCCTTGAATGTGAATAGATAGAATCCTATCACAGACAGCATTGCACTTCAAAATCAATTCTGAAATGACCTTTTATACCATGAATGTGACCCCATTTCTCTGGACTGTGTCCCTCCCAGCATAAGAAACCATATGGCTGCCTGACTCAGAATGGCCAATGCCAGTCCTTTTCAGCTCATGAACTCCTTGAATATCGATCTCTGTGCCTTCCATTTCGTTTTTTGGTGAGTTTCCAATTTTCCTAGATTCATGTATTCCAAGTGCCAATTATTAATTGATGTTTGAGTGGCGAAGGTCCTGAAGGCTTTCCCCCCACGGCTTCACTGCATCGCAATCATTATGGTCGACTTTACTTTCAAGGCAGCCTTTCCTCAGTCATCGTTTGAGCGCCATCTGACCTCAGGATCTCTGACAATGTTTTGCTTTATTCGTTAGCCCTTCAGTATTTAATAGCCATCAGGCTTTCAGTGGCTTATTCTTCCAAGGGTGGACCGCCTTATTCATCCTATGGATGGCTTATTCATCACAGTCTGTTCGTAGTCTGGAAGCTCCACGGAACCCTGTTTACGTTGGATGACCCTGCTGGTATTTGAAAAGTATAGTAACACAGCTTCCAGCATCACGGCAACACGCAAGCACCCCAGTGCGACAAGCTGTAGTCAAGTACATAAGTGAAGGAAATAAGGCAGTCAGTGAAAGAGGGGGGAATCTCCGGATGATGGGAAAGGGTGTGCAAAGACCCCAAGCCAGACAGAGCAAGGCTTGCTTGTGGGTCTGGGCAAAGACTAGCGTGGCCAGAACCAAGTACATGAGGGAGAGGGTTGCCTGAGGTGGACCTCAAGAGTGTCATCTCTAATCTTTCTTTTTTTTAATGTCTGGTGATCTGAGAGCCCTGGTGGCAGAGTGGGTTAAACGTGGGGCCGCTAATCAGTTGCAAGGTTAGCAGTTCAAAACCACCCATCTCTTCTTGGGAGAAAGGCGAGTTTCTGCTCCTGTAAAGATTTACAGCCTTGGAAGACGAAAGGGGCCGTTCTCCTCTGTCCATAGGGTCGCTGTGAGCCAGAACTGCCCGGGTGGCAGTGAGGTGTGGTGGTCTTGTGCTTGGGCTGCAAGTGTACAGAGTAAGTTGGGCTTCCGTCGAACCCTTCAGATGCTGTTGGTTCCGTGACCGTGTTGGTGTCCCCTGTGTGACAGCACTCTTCCTCCTTTCTCCCTGTGCTTCCCCCGTGGTTGTGTCTTTCTTCTCCCTCCTGCCCAGCAGCTGGATCCCTGGGCAAAGGCTCCCCTTTCAAGCTCCCAGGGTTCGTTGTCTTTAAAAAATGTGGACTGACCAGGTGTTAGCATTCTCCTGCCAGGCTTGTCTATTGTTGCCCTGAAAGTTGAGCCTTAGGGGTGAGTTCAGGCCTGACGGGTGTCTCAGGGCCTTCACCAGCTGGTTCTAAGAGGCTATCACACTTGTAAGGCTAGTCTTTTTTTTTTTTTTTGGCTGAGTTTTGTTGCATGGTTTTCTCCCATTCCATCTAGGACCTCATATTGTAGTTATTTTTCAGAGTGGTCACTGACCGGGTCTTCTTCTCTCAGGGGCCTGGAGTGTGGGCTGCCAGTGGCCCAGGAGCCCCGTGGACTCATTGGTTCCATGGACCTGTGATTGTCTTCACTCTCCGTGCTCTGGGTGGAGAGCCCACTAGTTGCACTAAAGTGGCTCAGGCTTTCGAAGGGAGGGGCCCTAGTGGTTCCTCCTTGGGCTGCTGCTGCCAACTCAGCAGTTTGAAACCACCGCCCGCTCCCATGGAGATACACGGGGCTTTCCCCTCCTGTCTCTGAGACTCACAGGGGCAGCTCCACCCTGTCTTATAGGCTCACTATGCATTGGCATCGACTCAGTGGCAGTGAGAAGGAGGGCTGGCATTGGGTGGCATTTGAATTGGATCTTGACAAGAGAGGTCAGCATGTGGGCAGAAGAGAGGAGGGCAGCAAGTGAGGAAAACAAAGAGGCAGAAAGCACAGATGCTGGGGTGGCCAGGGTGGGTGAGGTGACAGCGAGGAGACCGGGCTACGCCGTAGCTCACATACAAGGCGGGGTGAGAAAGAAAACAGAATGCCTGAGATGGGGTCCACTTGTCCCATCTATCCCAGCTGGCTTCTAGAGTAATTCGTTTTTCAGTGTTGAATACAGCGTTCAGTTATATTACAGTGTTTGTTGAGCTTATGTGTGTCAGGCCCCTTCCCCCCCAACCCCCACCCCCATATTCCTTTCCTCACTAGAGCCGTACAGGTAGCTCCTGTCATCCCAGTCTACACATTGGAGAATTGGAGTGCCAGGATGTGCAGTCGCTCCCCAGGGGTGCGGAGTTGCGCCCAGCTGTGCTGCAGCCCCAACCCCACGCCTTCCCCAGTACTGCCCGTTCCCTGTCAGTGCTGGCCTCTGGTACCTTGCATGTTATCACAGACAGGCAGTAGCATATGGGCCGTAGTGTGTTCGTGTTTCATAAGGTTCAACTGCCGGAGCCATTTTGATGTCTGATTGCAGCTCATCAGAATGAAACTCTCTTTATAGCTATGTCTTAAGGAGTGGAATTGGCACAGCCCCGAAATGAAACCCAAGCCCACTGCTGTCCAGTGGATTTCAACTCACAGCGACCCCACAGGGCAGAGTAGAACTGCCCCAGAGGGCTTCGAAGGCTGTGAATCTCTGTCCCACAGATGGCTGGTGGATTTGAACTGCTGTCCTTTGGTTAGCAGCTGGGCGCTTAAACCACTCTGCCACCGGGGCTCCTGTTCAGAAACGAGGGGGCAAAAACCATAACATTCATGACTGAACCTCCTGGCAAGCAGCGTGGTGGATTGCGGTGGTTCCCAGTGCTTTTTCTGGGTCCTTTGTCCTTGAACCCTGCTCTCTGCTTCAGTGCTGTTGCTTCAGAAAGGCTTCCCTGGCCCCTGTCTAAAGCGTCTGCCTCCTCGCCCTGCTTAGCTTCCTCCCTCCCCACTTTTGGCGCCTGACAGTACATCCTCAATTTATTCATTTGTGTACCTCATGTTTCAGCCTGCTGGAATGTTGGTTCCTGGAAGGTGCAGAGAAGAGATGCTCTGTTTCATTCACTGCTATGTCCTGCATTGAAATAAATAGCTGTTACACAAACAAGTGAATGGATGAGAAGCAAGGACTACAGGGCTCAGTGGCATTTGCACGACTGATTAGTTTCAAGTTTACTTCAGGAAAGAATCGCTGACTTTTGACATGGCTGGTTTTTGTTTAAATCCTAGGAGGTAGTTTCCCAAACAGAATCTTGGCCTTCCTGCTGCAGCCAAGCCAGATGCCTTCTTCTGTGTCTCCAGACCACGGGGGTGACCCAGAGGCCTGTGTCTTCAGATTTTCAGACCTGGATTTAAAAGACACAAGTCCCATCAGTCCCAGTAACCAGCTCAAAGCCGAGTTAGATGGTAGCACAAGGAAGAAATACTCCTTTGCAAAGAAAAAGGTAAATGTACTGTTGATGGTTCGTGGTCCTGTAAATAGAGTTAGCATAGGTACATCTTCAAATAGCTGGTCAAATAAGCAGCAAAGTCAGAATTTATAACTCCAGAAGCCTGTAAGTGGAAAAGTAGACTTTTTATAAGAATCCAAAAGACAGAAATAACCTTCGCAGGAGGACCATTGAATGTTCACGTTAGAGGTGGCCTCTGCCACGCACAGTGAAAGTTTAGTGGAAGAGGGAGTCCGTACAGGGACCAGCAGGCAGGGACTGGTAGATGGGCACAGGGCGGGGTCCGGGTTAGGCTGTGTGTCAGTGGTGGGTCAGGAGAGAGCCACGCTGCGGAAAGCCAGGTTGATGTTCTGGTGCAGCACCTGTGTCCGTCAACAGTGTGTGTGCTGCTGCAAGCAACGCAGGTCAAGCTGTGTTACGCAGATATTTCCACGTGACATAGAGAAAAATTAGGATGCGTGGCATTATTGACTCTTCATAATGCAAAATCCAAGGAGCTGTGGTGGCACCGTGGGCTCACCATTGGGCTGCTAGCCACCAGGTCAACAGTTCAAATCCTCCCGTCACTCCACAGGAGAAAGACGAGACTACGCCCATAGAGATTTCTCAGTTAGAGTTGACTTAATAGCTGTGCTTTTTTTAAAAAAAGCACTGTAAGACCTGGTTTACCTTATAGTGAGCTTTCCCAGTTAACTAATCGTTATCGCTGACCCAGTTTCACTTATTTCTTCTATAGCTTAGTAGTTAGAGAATTGGTCCTGTCGCGGGGAATTCTTCTATTATGTAGTAGAACATCAACTAGCTACTCCCATGGGTGAGGTCACATAACAATTTCACTGGGTTTAAACTGGAGCTTATTTAGCAGTGGCATTCTTTGAAAATAACAGTGGCATTTTAAAATATAATTGTAGGCATTTGCCCTTTTCGTCAAAACCAAGGAAGTCCCAGCATCTAAAGAAAAACAGTGGAAATGTTGTCAACAGCCATTCAAGGACGAGAGCAGCATCCACAGACACGTGGCCACACAACACGCTGATGAAGTCTGTCAGCAGACTGGTGCTGTTTTAAAGGAGCTGGCTGTGACACTGAGCTCCTCAGAGAGTCTCCAGCTTGCAGATGAAAGGAACCTTCCCAAAGAGTCCCTCCCTCCCGACTGGGACTGGGCAGTGGCTTCTTGGCTCCCTGACATCAGCGGCTTTAGTCCTGACCAGCTGACAGGGTAAGATTTTCATTCTTTATTGGGGGTTGATTGTCTCAAAATGCATCCTATTCTGCAGTCTCTCAAACAGAGTGTAATGATGAGTCAGTGCTTTCAGGAGTTTACCGTTGTTATGCTCATAAGCAGGATGCTGAGTCACCCTTTTAACTAATTAACCTCAAATTGTTACGGATCTGCTGCCCCTCCTGGCTTTCTCCTCCTGCTGGGCACGAGCCCTTGTGCTGTGTAACTAAAGACCCCAACGTCGGAAACAACAGGCTGATTTCACACAGGGTCTTCGGGTCTGGGACCTGGAGCAGCTGAGCTGGGTGGTTCTGGCTCAGGGTCTCACAGGCAGTAGTTGCCTCAACCTTGGAAGCACATGCCGAGACTGCTTCCGGGAGCTGCTGGGGGAGCTGGTCTGCACTGTGGCGCCCTTCAGCCAGTGGTTCCAGTGTTGTTTCCCTGTGGTCTTCTCTTCCTAGCGGCCAGGGCATCGATGACGGGGAGGTGCTGCTTTATTACTGCTACTGCGACCTGCAGGATCCACAGCGGGTCTGTGCCTGGCAGGCAGCTCTGTGTCGCCATCTCCAGCTCACAGGCAAGGTAAGGCCTCCCTCACCTCGTCCTTCCGGCTCACTGTGCTTCCCACACTTTGGAGGCTACACTCGGCCCCCAAAGCATTTTCTGTGAGCTTCTTAGAAATTCATGAAGTCCCACAGAGCCTTTAAGGAGAATCTATAACAGCTGGACACTTTTTCTGTACAGGGCTAGATAGTCAATACAAGAGGGTTTCCAAGAGGTCGTGGGAAAATGGGATTAAAAGGGAGTAATGTTTTTCCATGAACTTTTGGAAGCCCCCCTCATACTTTAAGCTTTGTGGGCAATATGGTTTCTGTTACAGCTACTCCACATTGCCACTTTATCACCAAAGACCATGATTTCATGTTACGTACAAAAAGAGCCATAGGTGGTGGTGTGTTCTAATCAAAGTACATGCAGAAGCAGGAACCGTCTGCCCACCGGCGTAAATACGTGGTTGTGCATGTTGTAAAGCTGCACCTGTAGGGGTGGCTCCAAGCTGCTGCTGCTCCTTTTCCTAGAGCAGGTGAGGGCCTTTCTGTTCCGGGGCCTTGACACATGCTGTCCCTTCTGCTCTTCCCCGAGACGGTCAGAGCGCTCATCCCTTACTTCAGGGCTGCTCAAGTGCTAGCCCTGCTCTGCAACCTCTACCCCTTTCTGTCCCTTTCCTCCCCCTGCTTGTTCGTTTCAATGAGACTGTGGTGTCCCTTTGGGGAAGGTTTACATAGTGTGTTTGGGTCCCCGTTCACCAGTTTCTGCACAGATCGTCCAGCGACGTTGGTGACATTCTTCATAAGGTGTCAGCAATCTCACGATTTCCATTCTGGTGGGTTCCCGTTTGTGGTCCCTAACATTCTCACTCTTGTTTTAAAGAAATTGTGATTTTTTTTTTTTGGTTTGTTTTTTAAGGAGCATAGCACTTAGGAATAGTATTCATGATTTCTCAGCCAACTTATTACCTACTTACAAGTGACTTGAGGGATTATTTTGGTTTAAGGTTTGAAGAAGGTCTCAGAGCATTATCCTGAGGGAGTCCTCCAGCCTCAACCCGCCCAGTACGTCTGGGTGTATTGTGGGAGTCTGAGGTCCTGGTCTACCTTTCTCTGCCACTTAATCCCATCTGTTGTCGCCCTGATTAGAACTATGGGTAGTGCTGGCTGGGCACCATCTGGTTTGACCGGTCTCAGAGTGGATAAGACAGGGTTCAAGTAGACTTTGCCTGGTAGACTAGTTTCTTCTTTGAGCCTCTGATTTTCTTCTTTCTCTGTTGTCCTGAAGCAGCAGAGACCAGCAGTTGCGTCTTAGATGGCAGCTGGAAGCTCTGAAGACCCAGCGCTATGTGTAGCGTAACTTTATGAAGCACATATTGTTCGCCAAGTGACCATTCCCTGTTTTGTTGGTTTTTTCCCTTCTAAGGAATTTATCACTACCTGAAAGTATGTTAGTTTTCTTATTTATACCCTTTGTTTTCCCTTGTAGCTTCATGATGATATTTTCTTGATGGATATGTTGTCGGTACTAGAACAGGACTTAGAATTAATAGACAGACAGTAAAATGTATGAGACATGTTGAGTAGAGAATGAATCATATCATTCACAAAGACAGTGTTCTACATCCGACGTGAGTGAGTAGCGACGGCCTTCAAAATTCATGAACATGCAACTATTGGCCTCTCCCCATCTAAAGTAAAGAATGATGAGACTTGAAAGACAAATGGAAACAATTAGTCCAGTGGACCGGTAGAGCACACAAATGTTAGTCCCCACAGCCCTGAGCCCAGAAGAACTAGAGGATGCCCTGGTATGACTACCAACTGTTGTGAAAAACGATGACATCAGCAGATCGGAGATGAGCAGCGGGCTCACGGTTCAGATGAGACTGAGCGACTCCCGGACTGTGGCCCTCAGTCACCTTTAGGTGTGGAACTGAACTTCTCCAGCCTTAGGATAATCAGCTACTCAAGATGAAAAGGGCAGCATGGATTCAAGGGCAAGGTTCTGATGTTAGGGAAGAAGGGATGGGAACAGGAGGCACAGGGAGGAAGTGGGGAAAGTGACGCCATTGAGGGCCTTGCAGTGAGTTAAAACAAATATATCTGTGGATCACTGAACGTAAAGCTGGTGACCTGCTCTGTAAACCTTCACCTAATCTATAAGAAAATGTTTTCTTTTTAAAAAATAAATGAATGCATGTCGGTAGCCAAGCCTTAAATGTACTACATGTATATCAGTGTAAGCATTAAGACACCAAAATGTTAATTATAGTTACCTCTGCTTGAACACGATGAAGGACATTTTGGTATTTTGTGTACGTACCTATATGTTTATGTACATGTACATGCACACACAAATAATACTTTTAACTTTCTTTCAAGCTGAAAGACATAAAGTCGATTTCCTCTGAGAGCTCTCTGGCCCTGGCCTTTCCTGTCTCACACCTGACCGTTTCCACACAGCTCCCAGGTTATAACTTCCCAAGGCAGCCAAGTGATCAGTGGTGTTTTCCACACTCACGCGGAGGCAGAGAACCTCATTCACCTCACTTACCTCCCTCCTTTAGTCTGTCATCAAGTCTTGCCACTTCTGCCTGGAAAATCTTCCTTGACTGCATGTCTTTCGTCCACCTCCCCCTCAGCAAGGTGCTACTCTCTCTTAACCAGTCGGTTGCAGGAGCATCCAAATTCCTGTTCTTCCTCTTCCATCCAGTCCGTTCTCCACGCAGCAGCCAAAGTGACCTTACGAGACCATCGTATTGCTTCCTCTTCAGACTCTTCCAATTCTGGAGTGAAAATCAAAATCTTTACTGATCCCTAAGTTCTAGTAAGGTTGGGCCGCTTCCTGCATTTTCAGTTGATTTACATTCTTCACTCTTGACCCTCATGGCCTTAGGTTTTCTGGAATCCTCCGAAGACTCTTGGCCTTTGGATCTCTTTACCTGAGGCCGTCTTCTACAAGGGACTATCACACTCGCCTCAGACCCTGTATCTAATCCATGTTTTCCTTACATTCTCTCAATACTGTCTGAAAGTTAGCTTCTATTGTTTGGCTCTTGTCAGTTTGTAAATAATTCTATCATAATGTCTGTGACTTCCATTAATCTGTGAGCTCCAAAGAGGACACAAACACAACACAATATCAGATGCACAGTAATACATACACATGCACATACACATGCATACAGATAATAGAAACATATATACATACACATACATATGGAATGAATATTACCACCTCTCGAGACCGAACTCTTAGGCCTGAAAGATGTTCACAGTAAATTTGGATATGCAAAACCTGAAATCAGCCCCTCTCTGGGTTGACTTACCAGAAGGGGAACTAGCGGTGACTATCCCTCCCATCACAGGGGAGCAGCCCCTACCTGGAGTTTGGGTCCAAATGTCCAGACTTCAAAATTGCACGTCCAGTTAACTGAGGTCATTTTCCAATGGTAGAAGATTTGGAAGACTATTGGCATCTAACAAAGGGAACAAGGAAGCCCTGTTGGCTCAGTGTGTTACTCATTGGACTGCTAACTGCGAGGTCCATAGTTCGAACCCACCAGCTGCTCCGTGGGAGAAAGAGGAGGTGGTGTGCTCCTGGAGCAGTTCTGCTCTCTGTAGGGTCAGTTGGCAGTGGACAAGTAGGAAAAAGGAGAACCTGGAATTCTGGAGAGACGCTTCTAGCCCCTATTACTATGCATTCCTTACGGCCTCTGGGTAATTCATAAACCATTGGTGGCTGCGGGATAAAAGAAAAATGACCAGACTTAAAGGATACACTTTTAAATACGGATTTGTCCTTGGGGAAGTTACCTTACTTCTCTGAGCTCCCGTTTTCTTCTATGTGAAACGGGATAAGGATGTCTGGTTTTCAGAACTACAGTGTAAAAGCCCTTTCTCACAGAGGGTGCTCAGTGCACGGTAACTGTTACTGCTCTTCGTTTCTAAGGTGTAGGGCCTTTCTCACCGAGGAGCGACTTCAGTTGAAGGATCTTAGGAATTGGAAGTCTCATGTATGGGTTTAGAGATGGTCTTGCCCGCACTGTGCAGGAAGTGGAAGTGCTTGCCCTTTCTTGGGTCCTGAGGTTTTATTATAATCTGCTCTTCTCAAGAGAGCTGTGTAGGGTATGTGCCTCCATCCTCCCTGCCACGGGTCAGAAGCCATTTCAGAGTGGATTGTTGGTCCAGCTTTATTTTTATATGTTGAAAACAACAACTTGTTCCCTTTGGGTCAGTTTCAAGAGGTAAATTAACTTTCTCAGCGAAGAAGTTGCACAGCTAAATCTTGATCCTGGATCCACTGATCTGCGGAGGCGACTCTCTTGCACTACCTGGTTTCAGTAGAGCTCAAATTCACTCTTTGGCCATGGGATAACTGGAGCTCCATAGCACGTGGGGCTTTCTAGAAGTCAGTCGTGTGTTCAGTTTCTTGTTCCACACATGTGGCCTGAGTACCTTGCCTGCACAGGCCCTGTGGCAGTGCCGTGTTAGGAAAACAGGCGTCTCTGGTCCCAGTGTGGTGTCCACAGCAGGGTGTCTGCTGTTTGTCATTCCACTCGCTGGCCCACAGGAGCCTGCTGTTCCCCTGCAGAGGCAGAGCAGCTCAGGAAGGGCTTGCTTGCCTTTCTCTCCATCTGTCTCTCAGCTTCGGATTGCTACTGAAGGAATTAACGGGACGCTTGGCGGAAGCAGGTTGGCCACCAGCCTCTATGTGGAAGCCATGCTTTCCTGTCCATGGCTTAAGGATCGCCTGTGTAAGGAAGACTTTAAGGTAAGAGGACTTGGAAGTAAAATGCACCTCGAGTTCATCTGTTTCTGCCTTCGTGCCTCTCCTCTCTCTAGTGAGAGAAGGTTAATGGTGAGAAATAAGTGGTACCAGCTCAGAACTGTCTCGCTTGGGTTAGGAATGACCACGGAGGAAACCTGGGGCCAGCAACCTGGACTGCTCAGCCCCGTGCATCCACTAAGTAACTGTATGACTTTGGACAAGGCGGTGGCTTCCCTGGACCTCAGTCCCCTTCTTATAAAAATCAGGCTTCTACAACTCACAGCATCTAGAACTCCTGTCCTGGGCATGTATCCTCACCCGAGAGACCACCTGACTGTGGGGAGACTACCTCATCATGAGAAATAGATGAAGTAAATGAAAGGTCAGATAAGATGAATCCATGTTCGTGCTGGCACAATAAAGGATCGCTGCTCTGGAACAAACGCTGGGGCATAATGATCACAGGTTGGAATTGCTCAGAGGTGTTGCTGTTTTAGAGGTAAATGCTTCCAGCTATAGAAACACCATTTCTATTTTGTATTCCTGCAGATGGTATATACAGTAAATCTTTATTGAAGTACCATTATTGTAGAATCAGGCATACTTCTTGCTAATAGCTGGGGGTGGGAGAAGAGGACTCGACTGTACCCTGCTTTTGTTTCTCGTTGGCTAGACCAGCCCAGGAGGAGCTCACTGTTTCCCAGAGTTGCGCGTTGGTGTGTTTGAAGAAATCGTGCCCATGGGGATTAGCCCTAGTAAGATCTCCTACAAGAAGCCTGGTATGTCTACTTTTAGAAGAATTGTGCTTTTCTTCACCGGACAAAACAGAATAGACAAATAAGAAGGTTAGACAGGACAGTGCTCAGCAAGCATCAGCATGAATCCTCTCTTTGAGATAACTGTGGGGTGGTGGCCAGCCCCGAGGGTCCATTTGGCTCTTCAGTTGGCTCTTCTCTTTGGTGCCGTGGTAAGTGAAGACACTGCCCTTAGAACTGACCTCTCTTAGTTATTCTTGTTGACGGTGACTTTGGAAGGTTGTTTCCTCTTTGTAACTATTATAAGTAGTTCACCAGTAGACTGGAATGCACTTGCTACAGGAAGCAGTGGCTTCAATACCGCAGTGGGTGGGTTGCTTCCAGTGTTCTAGAACGTTGTCCCACTCTCCCGCCGTGGTTACCATGGAGCAGGGGTGGAGGATGCCCAGCCCACCAGCTCCTGTCCTCACCAGAGAGAAGCAGCGCCCCCTATCCCATTAGGGATGATTTAGTCAAATGTTTGACCAGGATGGCTTACAGATGAGGTTACAAATATCCAGATGGCCCCCTGGCAGGAAAAAGGCTGCTCCCACCCCTGCTACATGGGGTTGGAAGACATTTATGTTTTTGTTTTGTTGTGTTTTTATTTTATTATTAATTGGGAATTAATACATATATTGTTAATATTCATGACCAGCTTTCATCTATAGCCCCGCCCACTTTCCCTATCCTGGATTCTCTGGAGGGAAATCCCTAGCATCCTATCATTTTTATGTACAAAGATCTTATAAGTTAAAGAGTTCTTTTAAAAAATAAATAACTGTAAAACCATTATTACATCTAAAACATTGTAGTGGTAATTTTTTAATATTAACAGACTTCCAGTTAGTGTTCAAACTACCCAATTCTCGTAGTGTTTTGAAGTTTTGTGTGTGTTGTCAGCATTCAGATATGGTCCGTGCATTGTAATTAGCTGCCATGTCTCTCTGAGTCTCTTGGCCTGTGGATTCCCCTCCCGTCTGTCCTCTTTGCAGGGTAGTGTTTGAAGAAGCTGGGTTCTCTGGCTGTAGAGGGGAGCTCCCCCAGCTTAGATTCTGCTGAGAGAGCCCCCGAGCTGTTTAACATCACCCTTGGGCCTCTGTGCTCCCTAGACATGGTAGGTAATATGATGTGGAACTTGCACTGCTCAGTGGAAATGTAATATGGACCAGACATGTAATTTTCAGTTTTCTAGTGGCCACATTTAAAAAGTAAGATGAAACAGTTGACATTATCTTTAATAATCTGTTTTAAAACAATATATTTTGATTTCAACATATAAATAGAAGGTAAAAATGAAATATAAAAATTATCAGCGAGCTTACTGCCCCCAATATAAAGTTGTTGATCTAGTATATATTTTACCCCTTTGTGGCCCAACTCCATTTGGACTAGCCACATTCCCAGTGCTCGGCGGCCACATGTGCCCACTGGGGACCATATTTGTCCCGCTCTAGAGATCTGGTGAGGTTCAGGTTTGATTTTGCTCTTGCTTTGCTTGCCTGCTCTTTTCCTAACAAGACCGCTTCTTCGGTAATGTTTGTCTTCCTTCACCAGGAGCCCCATCAGTCTAGTTGGCTGTCTGGTGTGCAATATGTAAATATTTCCCAAAGGCTGGAATGACGCCACAGGAACACGGGAGTGAGATGCAAGCACTGGGAAGAGACTCCTGCATCGGGAACTCAGGCCAAGAGAGCTGGGCCTGCTCCAGGTCCCCATTGGAGCCGAGGCAGTGTGGCCTCAGGCAGCTTTCTCCGTGCCTGCAGGGCGCTGCACAGGGCCTCCGGGGCGAGTAGCTCCGAGCAGGGCTGTATTGCTTTCATTGGAGCCAGTTGTTCATGGACCTCTGCTATGCACGGCACCATCCAATCTGGCCCCGCCCTAAAAGCAGCAGCGGGGGAACTCTGTGGACAGAGTTTAAGTAGATTTTCCATCGTCCTCATGGCCGTTTTGAACTTCCCTTCCTGCCCTGCTCTTTGGGTGTCCCTTCAGTGATGTGCCGGCCAGGAACACAGAATCGGGCCTCCCCACATTCTCCTAGGTTGGACAGGTAGGGGTTCCCGATTCCTACACTGTGCCGAGCCTGCCTGGGCACAGAGCAGTCTCCGATGGTGGTTAGGATTCACCCCTGAGCAGAACGAGTTTTCTTTGGGGCTCTAAGTCACTAGAGCCCCGAACCAGGAGGTGTGGTCACCCTACTGCCCATGCACCAAAGGTGATACCTGGACTCTGAGGTTTGAGAATGATTCTGTCCTGGGGAGTTAGGGCATAAGAGCTCCACCAAACTAAGCGCCCCTCTGTTTAGTCCCCAGCGCCATGCATTGGACTGCTAACCACAAGGTCAGCAGTTCAAACCCAGCAGCCACTCTGCAGGAGAAAGATGAGGCTGTCTGCTCCCAGAAAGGTTTACAGTCTCAGAAACCCAAAGGGGCGCTTCCACTCTGTCCTGTAGGGTTGGAACGAGTCAGAATTGACTCGGTAGCAGTGAGTGTTTTTGTTTTTAATATTTTACTTCATGTCTTCAGTCCTTGTTTCGTACCTTTTTCATCTTTTTCTTTCTAAGATTTCTACTGCCATTTCTCGTTCACTTATGCACAGAGACCATTCCTCGTAGCCCTTTTGCCTTTTTCAAAAGCATATTCCCTAATGTTCTCCCATACCTGCTGACACCACCGTTTTTAGCAGAACGAGTTTTCTTGAACTTGGGCTCAAGCTCAGTAGCGACCGTTTGAAAGGCCTTTATTGCAGACGAGGTTCCAGTTGTCTGGTGGCTGAGTGTGAGCAGTCTCAGTGCCCTAACAGCTCCTGGCTTCTCCCCCGCCAGGCTCCCACGGTGGTCACGCTGGGCACAGGGAGGCCGAGGGCACCCGACATCCTGGGGCGACTGCATACCAAGCAATCTTCAGACACACTCTCAGTTGACCAGGGCTGGGGATGTTGCGGTGGCTACAAACAAGGCGTCGTCTCATACGTGGGTGTCTGTCTTTCATCACGCTATTTGGTGCTTTGATTTTAGGAATCCATTTATCCCCAAGCGAGTTTCATAAGGAAGTGGAAGCATTTTTATCTCTGGCCAATCAGGGACAGAGTGATACTCTCCTCCTGGACTGCAGAAACTTCTACGAAAGCAAAATTGTAAGTGTGAGCCAGACTTGAGCTTGGTGAGATGGAGGGTCACTCTCAAGGTCCCCAGGGGGAAGCCACACGTGCCCACCCATGGTTCAGGCACAGGGACCCCCTCCCAGGACTCACAGTTTCAGAGCGAACCCACGCCTTACGCTGGGAGCTGGTGAGAAGGCGAGCATTAACACCATCTTGACTTGTTCTCTACTTTTTGGCTCCCAGGAGCCCACCCTTATGGGTAAGCCGCTTGAGGGTCTTGTAAAGCTTGCCTGGGGCAGCCTCTCTCATCCCCTGGAGGACTCTGGGAAGATGGCCCAGTGTCCACCCAGCCCAAGGAGCCCTGCCTGTAAGGTCTAAGTGTTGAGTTCAAGGGCACTGATGAGAATGGTCATGGACAAGTGCTTCACAGTGACCCAGGGCCCGACAGACATGGGAGGAGGCCTTGCTCCTGGCAGGTGTGTGGCCCTGACCACTCCGCTGTTCCTTCCTTGCAGGGACGATTCCAGGGCTGCTTAGCCCCCGACATCAGGAAGTTCAGTTACTTCCCTAGCTACGTTGACACAAACCTAGAGCTTTTCCGAGAGAAGCGGGTACTGATGTACTGCACGGGGGGCATCCGTTGTGAGCGTGGCTCAGCCTACCTCAAAGCCAAGGTGAGTCCCAGAGGTGAGGAAGTACCCAGCCCTGCCTCCCCACCCTCCCGCACGCCGAGCCTGCCAGAGGAGTCACATTCTTCACCAGGGAATCTTGAAGCACTAGATCTGAGCTGCTTAAATCCCCAGATGTGAAACGCACTTAACCATCTTAAAGACTCATCAGCTATAAAAAGGAGATCTTAGTTAATATCTCCGTCGCCTTGTTCCCTAAGTGTAGCCCTCAGAAGAGCAGGTTAAGCGACATCACACATCCCAACAGGTGTCCTCCTCTGTTTAGGGGACAACAAAAATAGCTGGGTGTCTGGGCTCTAACGCGGCAGCGAGGCCCTCCCGCACAGGCACGGTCTGGCCCCCAGGCCCAGCATTTGCTCAGTGTCCTGCCCTGGGGAGAGGCAGGGGTCCTCCTCTTGGGTGCTCTACCCCCGCTCCACTCTCTGCGTGGTGCTCAGACGCCCTGTGGGATCTCCCCCTCCCCCCTCCCCCCAGGGCGTGTGCAAAGAGGTGCTCCAGCTCAGAGGCGGCATCCACAAGTACCTGGAGGAGTTCCCCGACGGTTTCTACAAGGGGAAGCTGTTCGTGTTCGATGAGCGCTGCGCCCTGTCCTACAACGGGGACGTCTTGGCAGGTAGATCAGCACAGACCTGCCCTCCAGCAATGACAGCGGGCGGGCAGGCTGAGTCTTGTTATGTAATGTCTGCACAAAGCCACACATATTGTTGTATATCCCAGACCTCAAGATATTTTGTTGTTTTTTATTGCTCTGTCATTTATTTTCACTGTAATTCTATGTGCTCTTTGCATGTAATGCCTTTATTCTAAGACGGAGTCCATAGGCTCCACCGAGCCCCTGGTTAGAGGGTTTGTGAGACTCAGGAGATGTACATTTGAGTGACAGGAGGGGAGCTGTACCGTGAGAGCAGAATCCAGGGCCAGGGCCCGAAGCACGAGTGGCCCTAGGACGTGACTACAGCTTGCGGGGCACCTACCTGTGGTACCAGATGAGGTGGTCAGTGAAAGGGTGGGGCTTCTCCATAAGGGAGGTGGCTGCTGCTCCTCCCTGTTTGCCCCAGCCGGCAGGGGATGTGGTCACAAGCAGTGAACCCCAGTGGTGTGCCGCCAACCCCGTTCCTCTGAGCAGAGACTGAAATGATCAGATGTCCGGTGCTGGTTCTCTCCCCTCCTTTGGTCTTTTTATTCACTGAATGGTCTGCTGTCTGGCTCTCTCTAAAGCTACTGCAGCCCTGTATCTGTAGATGACAGATAAGGAAGAAGCAGAAATGTGGCCAACTTGGCAGACTTGGAGGGATCTGCACGGGAAAGTGAAGGGGAGAGAGATGGCCCACCAGTGGCTTAGTTCAGTAAGGGCAGGAGATTTGAAGAGTGAGGTTGCTCATGGTACCAGGAAGCCAGCAGGGAAAACAGGCTCAGAAAGGGAGAGTGGGAGTCCGCATCAGGTGGGGAAGCTGAAATGCCCTGGCCCCAGCAGCACAGTGTCAGGCCTAGGGAAGAGGGTGAGTGGGGTGACCCATGGAGGTCACAGATAGCTAGGGGATGCTCTATATCCTGGGTGTCATTGCCTACTGGAACAGTGAATGATCTAAAGCATAGGTCCCCAAATTTAGCTGCCCTACCGTCCCCTTCGCATATAAAAAAGTATGCCCCACCTTCCACCCATAGGAGGTGCTATGGCCCACTTTTGGAAGCAGGCTGTTCAACAGGGGTGGTTATGCCAGCTTTGGAATAGCTCACGAGAAAACTAACACCCAACCCACTGACACCGGGCCGATGCCGACTCAGAGTGACCCTATAGGACAGGGTAGAACTTCCCCTGTGGGTTTCTGAGACTGTAGCTTCTTATAGGAGTAGAAAGCCTCATCTTTCTCCCTTGAAGTGCCTGGTGGTCTTGAACAGCTAACTTTGCATTTAGCAACCCACCACCTAACCACTACTCCACAGGGCTGCAGCTGATGAGAGAGAGATTAATGTCAATGCTGTAATTGGGAAGAGAAGAATGGGTCAAGGAATGTTGGGGTCAGACAATCCCCAGAAGTACTCAACCGTCGAGAGTATGTGTGTGCCTTTTTATTAACAGACAGGAGACTATTTAGAAATCCCAGAGGCCCTATAGGGTATGTGGTAAGCTGAGCGTTTGCCTTAGGAACAAGAGGCTTGCCATATTGTGTACACATGCACACACACATGCTTTTAACAAGGGCTTTTCTTGCCTCCTCAGAATGTTCATACTGTGGAGTCCAGTGGGACCAGTACAAACTCTGCTCAACTCCCCAGTGCCGCCAGCTCGTCCTGTCCTGCCCTGCCTGCCAGGAGCAAGGGTTCACAGCCTGTTGTGTCACGTGCCAGGACAAAGGGAAGAGGCGAGCTACCAGCGCAAGGCCGAGCAGCTTTAAAGAGGAGTGTGAATGCACAGCCCGCCGGCCACGCATACCCAAGGAAGCATCACAGCCACGCAGCCCGGTGAATGCAGAGCCTGGGCCTGATGCTCGTGTGAGCGTCTCCTCCAAACCATCCCCGAGCTAGGTTTGGGGCAGCCACATATAGGGGAATTTCACAGCTACTGCACCAGAGAAATGGAGAGTGTCAGGGCTGGCCAATGCCACCATATCAACTGGTGACTTTGCTGGGCACCTCCACTGGACAGCAGGAAGGGCCAGGGCCATGGCTGCTATCTGACTCCTGCCTGACCTGAGACATTGACTCGTGATACTGGAGCACAGTGAAGTGGTGAGCCTGGGGGATCCCATGGTGCTCAGAATAGAGCCTGGTGCCCATGCCAGGCCCCCTCTCTGCTCTGTACCAGAGCTGTTTGTAGACACTGCGTTTGTCGTCACACCTATCCATCCTAGTGGCAGAAACGTGAAGACTCTGAACCAGGCCCCCACCCCTACCTGGGCCGCCTGAGAGCATCTGGACCAAGGGTCTCCATCGTGGCATTTGGCCACTTCCTATTTTTGTAAATAAAGTTTTACTGGAACGCAGTCATGTCCATTTCCTTCCTTTATAGAGGATCTGCAGCAAGGAAAAAAAGTAGTTGGAGCAAAGACTGTGAGGCCCACCTCTGTCCCTTGACGGAAAGTCTCCCCGCCTCTGATCGAGGGAACAGCCTGCCTTCGGGATGAGGCCGCTTCCACTGCGCTAGGGTCCTGGGAGGGCATTACCCACTCGCCCTGCTGCTGCCAGCACCCACACTCGTGGTGCTTAGAGGTTCTCTCTCATGGATTCATTATGACCTGACGTTGCTGGTATTTGGGTAGCTGTGTTTAGGTCGCATGGGATGGAAGACACATTCATAAGCCTGCAGCTCTGCCCCAGTGACTGGACTGCCCTGCCTGCTGGGCACACATACTTGAAGGGCACGCCACTGTCCCACGAGCCCCAAGGAGCACACCGGTAGCCATGTACAGACCGACAGATTTACTATTCGTTGCAGTTTCCAGTGATGCAGAACACAGCTGCAGTGTGTTTCACGGGCAAGCTGTTGGGGCAGGGGGTGTTCCTGCAGCACGGGGCCGCCCTTGGGTTCATCTGCAGCCTCCCCTCGATGAGCCTCTTCCCCAGTGTCAAGGCCTGTCGCCCCGCTGCCGTGCATGTCCATGCTGCAGCAGCTGGCCCCCGCACATGGCGTTTCCCCTCTCCTCCGGAGCATCCTGCTCAGTGCTCACCAGCTCCACGCCTTTGCCTCTTTCTCTTAAGACTCATTGAATTGCACCTGAAAAGAGCTCCCAAGGCAACAGGAATCCCGGTGTGACTGGCACTGTGGTGCAGGAAAAGGCACAGGGCGGTGCGACCGAACAGCCAGGACGCAGCAGACATGCCCACAGGGCGGTTTCAGAATCATCGTCTTTGGGAGGTTTGGCCAGGATTTCCTAATTCTCTGACCATGTGGGTCTTCTTCCCCAGCGGCCTTCAGAGGCAGTTCACAGGCACGAGACCAGTGGTGGCTGTGTAGGAGTCCCCGGGAGACAGGCAGGATGTCCGTAAGGCCAGCCATGCTGAGACCGTAGCTGTGGTGAGCTGGAAGTTCACCTGCTGACTGGCACTCCACATGAGCCACACTGCTGCTCCCCATGCCGCCCAGACAGAGCCTTTCAAGTAGTATTTGGCCGTAGGGTTTCACGTCCCGCATGAGGTTGGCATTTGGTGAGGGTGGGGTGGGGTCTTTTCTGGCTCCAGTATTAAGCTGTAAGGTCATGTCATGCTCCTATAAGGGACCTCAGGGAAATGCTTGCTGCCTGGGACTGCCAAAGACACGTGTCCCAAAGCTTGACATCTCACCACTGGCCTTTCCCATCGCCTCTGCCAGGAGGAGCTCTGACGGCAATCGTTTCTCTTATCCCCCTGGAGGGCAAAAACTTTATTCTTGATCCAGCCATCCACTTGGCAGCTCAAGCCTGAATTAAAGGGCTAGTCTTTAAAATGAAAGGAGGGTTAATAAAACATATGTCAATTTGCAAAGTAGCCAAGATCCAATGTGTAATTAGGGCTAAGGCTCCCGAAACCCGGTGGACGAGTGTGCTGCCTGTTCACGCACTACACACCCGACCCTGCACAGCAAGGCCTGCAGCTGGGCCCCTGGGGGTCAGTCACTGCTCAGGTAGCTCCGTCTTCAGTAATCAGCCGGTTCGAGGGCTTCCTTTTTAAATAATCACTAGACTAAAGAACAACTTCACATGAAACCTATGTTATAAAAATGTCAACTACGACCACTAGTTAACGTCAAACCTTAGTGCATAAAGAACTGAACACAAAGGATGCGCCGGTACGTTGCCGCCTGGTTCCCCGGGCAGACAGAGCAGGGATCCTCAGGAGGACATGTCCAGTTCAAAGGCGGGTCTTCCCCTCTGCGCACTAGACACCACTCCGGCACTTGGGGATGATGGGCCCGGTCAGGTCTGCAAGCCGCCTCTTCCTCACTGGAAAGGAACAGAAGAGAAATGAGGAGGCAGCCAGTCCGTCAGTCCTGCAGACCAGGAGCCCCGCTGGCCCACGGAGAACACCAATATGCCTTGTGCTGTTTGTCTGAGTAAAGCCTGAAGTCTGTATTGCTTTTAAAGGACCCTTGTGTGTGTGACTTGTGTCATGGCCCCTCACCCTTCACTCCGAGTCCATGACACGGTCCTGTCGGTCACAATGACTTCTAAATGGCTGACCACACCAGTGTAATGCCCTGGCCGGCTTCTCCCGAGACCACACCCTTGAAGAGCCTTACTCTGCTTCAGATGAGAGTGAAGCCGAGCCCATCCTCTTAAGGAGCCCGGGGCCTTAATCCCCAGGGGGCAGCCCCCCAAGATCCTGATGGGACAAGATCGTCCTGCAGTGCCCACCCCTAGGTGTCCCTGCTTGACATCTTCCCCGGGGCAAGATGATAGAAACTCCAGCCACTGTTCATGGAAAGACGTGAACGGCCACAAAGGGGAAAGCTGCGAGCTGGGGACATTCGCTCAGGGGGTGAGGGATCCCCTTTGCTGTCACAAGGGAGCCTACAGACATGCATTAGTGTCTGCAGCCAGAGACCAGGCTTCGAGCTAGAGCTGCCACCAGCACGAGAGGAAATTCTGGAGGGCCGCTAGGTGGCAGCCCAGGGGCCTCTGGTGTGGCAGAGATAGGAAGCGATGGCTGAGAGGAGCGAAAGTCTGTACTTCTATGTCTTCCAATTCCTGAGCGAGGCTCGATGCACACATCACATCACAACAGAGCTGCAACCAGAGCCCCATCAGCGTATGGACAACACAGGCAGAGCCACTGGGGTGTTGGGGCTCAGAGTGGTGGTGTTCCTGGGTGCCCTGGGAGACTTCTGTCCCAGGGAGGAGGGTGCAGTGAATGAAGCGGGCAGCTTCTCTAAGGACAGCCTGGGGAACACGGTAGCGGAATGCCAATGATGAAAAGGTGGGGGGGGGGGGCAGTGGGAGTAAAGACCCTTTAAGGACATGCTTTCTCCTGGGTCACTGGGCACTCAAGCTACCTGGCATGGTCCCACATAATGTGGCAAGAGGATGGCTGGTCAGGAGGTACCCAGAGACGAAGTCTGGCAGGGCCCAGGGGTCCCAGGTGCCTCATGGCTGAGAGCATCAGCGCAGGAGAGTTGGTGCCACCCTAGTTCTGCCCTCTTGCTTAGGTGAAATGACAGTAAGGCAAGGCCTCTGTTTCCTTACTGTGAGTTGGGATGGGAATAGCCCTACCTCAGGAGATTAATGGAGAGTCAGTATGCCGGGACTGGGAAGTCCTGAGAACAGTGCCTGCCACACACTAAGGACCACCAGCCACTCGGAGGGTCTTGTGAACAACAGGAGCCCAGAATGGGTCCTCAGCTGGAGGACAAAGGTCACTGCTTTGAGCCCACCAGCTGCCCAATGGGAGAAAGAGGTGATGTCTGCCCCCAGCAGGAGGTACCTATGGTGTGCTCGCTCTGGGGGGGGGGGCTCTGAGTTGGCATCCACTCGATGGCAATGGGCTTGGTTGAGGGTGTTTGCGATGCTTCTTGGAGAGGTTGTCCTTGAGACTAGAGCAAAACAGGGGCTTTGCCAGGACAAGGGTTTTCTGGTTTTAAGCATGTTACGTCCCCTCCTGCTTCAGGCCCACCTGACCCCAGACGCACGCCACTGTCTAACGTGGAGGCTGCCCTTCCAATGGTAAGTGGACAGTGCTTTCTCTCCTTGCTTTCCTCCGGCCTCTCGTACCGCCGCCGAGCGTGACCAGGACAGACAGAAGAAATGCACGTGGCAGCCCCGATGGCCTTTCTGGATGTCAGTTGGTGACTGATCAACCTTTTTCGGTTCAACTGCCTCACGGACTCAATTGCCGTATAAGAGCGATACGGTGACATCTTCTTTAGCTCAAACGAATCGAACTTGCATTTACTTTGCTTTTGAAGGTGGCTTTACAACGTCTGCCTGACAAGCCATAAGCCATGTGCAGGTTCCAGGCCCGGGGGCTGGGGGGCTAGAGGTCGCATAGTCTGGAGAGGACTCCTCATTGTAGAGTACAGGGAAGCGCTTCAGAAGAAGAAAGGACCCGGCTGTGGGCTTTGTCTGCACCAAGTGGCCCAGCATTCGGTCAGGTGCCGTGTGTGAAACCTGGACCAGCCCTGGGCCCACCCTGCGGCCTGGCCTCAAGGAGGGAGAGCGCTCATCCCTGGGCCCCTGGGAACTCACAGTCTAGGGAGGGGACAGGACACAAGCCCAGAGAAGGAAAGCAGGGCTACGTGGACGCTATGTGGACGACTGGACGGTGAGGAGCCCCAGGGCTTCCCCTGATACATCCTGCACAGATGTGTGTGTGGGGAGGAGGGCAAGGGCAAGGGTGTGGGCCCGCTTCCACTCACCCAGGTCGTTGTTGCTCATCATGGCATTGGATGCCCGAAGCCGGGGCCCCTGCTGGGTGAAGTGGTAGCCGAACTTGAGAAGCGTTGTGTTTTTTTCCAGCATGCTCACCATCTCCATTTCTGCTTTGTTGCCCAGAGGCTGGCTCTTGGGTGGAGAAAAGAACAATTGTTGCCATGCATCCCTTTGGCTAGGGCCTAACAGCCTGCTCCACATACAGATGGTGGGTCGGGAAACCTTGTCATTCCCCATTCCAAGAGCAAAGAGCGGAGGGGCTGGGCTGCCATGCAAACCGAGCTCTTGCGGCTGGCCCACCACAGCCTCTCTCTGAGCAGGTGTCCATGTAAGGACTCCACCAGGGCGCACCCTGGAGTATCGGAGCAGCGAGGACCTTCGAATCACCCAGTCCTGGGGAGACATTAACAACCCTGCTGCCCAGGCTATATCCCTTCCTAACGGAATCCGGAGTTGGTTCCCATTGTTTTTAAACTCCCCAGATTGTGGGAAACTGAAAGATTTCTCCAGCGTCTCTCCCAAATATATGATAGACTTAGGACACTGCTTGCCGCTAATGGTAAATGATTGTCAAGTTACCTCCCTGAAGGCAGTCAGCTGCCAGACTACTGCCTGGTCCCACCACAAGTAGGGCCCGCTCCCTGCTGTTAAGGACAATGAGCTACTTCTCCCTAAAGGCTTACAGTCCTTGGTTTGGTCCCTGCAGGGTGGGTTTACACCCTACTGATAATGGTTTCAACAGAGAGCCAGAGAACAGGTCAAACCGGCTCAGTCACACCCAAAGTTAGGCTGCCATCCTGATTCTAGGATCCGCCCATCTTGTCACATGTATACCCCCAATCCCTCCTCTTCCTATTGTGTGGATACCCCTAGATCACCCCCCTCCCATTACTGTATTACCTATAGCACAACCCTTTCCTGTGACACATGTCTTCACCTGTAATTAAGGGGCATGCCTGTCCCCAAAGAATATAAAAGCCTTGGTTAGCAATAAAGATTCTCTCTCCACATGGACCACCAAGTGAGGCTGAGGTGAGCATGCTACCACGAGATGTGTCTGACTCCATTATTTCAATCTCTTCTATCGCTCATGCTCTCTATGACTTTACTATAACCTTTACTTATTATCGCTGTACAATTGCGCCGACTGGACCAGTGGTGATGTGTTAGGGGCTGGTTTCCCTGACACCAGATGATTCCCACCGGCAGCCAGTGATCCCATCTGACCTCTTCAGTTTACACATGAGCCCCATTTGAGGCCCAGAGAGGGGAATGGGCTTGCCAAAGGCCACACGGTGAATCGGGAGTGTCGGTGTTGGTTACCTACAGCCCGCTCTGGTCACAGGAAGCCTCTCCCACCCCCAAGTCTATACTGATCATACGACAAAGAGGAGAAGCACGGCGGCACAACACTGGCAAGAACGTGACGAGGACGCGTACCACAGCCCCGTGAATCCCCGTGGGGAGAAGTGAAACGGGCATTCGCCAGGAGGAGCTCGGAGCTTTGTCCTAGAATGTAGGCTGCAAAACAAGGAGGCACCTCCCTGGCCACTGCCCTGGAGAGAGGGCCATGGAGTGGCCCTGCGTGTGTGTGGGGTGGGTGGGAGGTGGTGGTGGTGGTAATCTAAGTCACATATTCAAGACAAGACAAAAGAAAGCACCTCACGGCCATCGAGCTGGTCGACTCAGCGACTCTCTGGGCCATGATGTTTCTGAGATGGTAACTCTTTTCAGGAGTAGAACGCCTCGTGTTTCTCCCAGGGAGCATCTGGTCATTTCGAACTGCTGACCTTGTGATTGGCAGCCCTGGTCATAACCAGTGCGTATATACTTGTATTTGCATAGAAACAAATCTAGAAGGATGCTGACGGTGGGATTTAGGATAGCTTTGTTTTCTTCTGTGTGATTGCACCCTCTGGTCGTTACATAATTTCACGTCAACTTGGAGCGGAGGGGTGGAGTCTAGCCTGATGGTGCCTCCGCGTGAGTGGGACCTCCTCCTAAGCAGGGTCCTGGGAACCTCTCCCTCTCTGCCTTCACCTTCAAGGTGGCGAGCCACCCAGAGACCCGTGAGAGCCCAACGATGGATCCACACGCCTCCGCACCCACCAGCCTGTGATCTCCCTGCATTCTGCGTCATTGCATATGGCTGCGCCAGTCTGAAGAAGGACATATGGACTAGTATCAGACTTACGGGCTCAATCTGGACTGGGCTGGGATGTTTTCTTGATATACAATTGCTCCCTTGATATGAAGCTCTTTCTTACAGATACATGAGTGTCACTGGATTTGATTCTCTAGTCAACCCTAACACATACTGTTTGCATTACCATGAGTTATCGATTCAATTATGTCTACCCCCACACCTAAATTTGTGTCAACTTGGCTGGTCCATGATCCTCAGTTTTGGATGGAATTGTCCCCTTTGTGATCGGAGGTAACAAGCCCACGTGTTGTAAATCCTCACCTCTATGATGTTAATGAGGCAGGTGTAGAGGCAGCTCGGTTAATGAGGTGGGGTGAAATCTACAAGATGAGGTATTTTGAGTCGCTCTCTATTGGCAAACAGAAGGGATTAAACACGTGCACCACAGAAACCAGAGGGACCCTAGTGCCACCCAAATAGAAGTGCGTGTCCTTTGGACACGGGGTCCCTGCACTGGGAACTTCCTAGACCCCAGGGAAGACTGAGGGGAAGGCCCACGGAGATCTCCTCCGAATGTTGGGCCTCCGGATGTTGGAAGGAGAACAGGACCGCCCGCCCGCTCAAGCTGTGAACCCACAGAGAGAGGAAGCCTTGCCCTGGACTGGGCCACGAATTCAGAGTCTCTAACCCTCGAGGACATACTTTCTGTTACAGCCACCTACCGTGGTCTTCCTGTTACAGCAGCACTCTGAAGAGTACAATAGCTTGTAAAATAATCTTTAAGATAAAAGAAGCTGTAAAAGACACAGAAAGCCGGGGCTTCTACTAAACACAGATTCAAAACATAGATGTTACACATACAAGAGACTCTGAAAAATGTAGAGAGGAAGTAAGACCGGTGAGGTTCCTCACACACCCCCCACCTCCACCCCACACCCCAACAACACGCTAGTTCATGCCCGCTTTTCCTTTGGGCCTAGACTTCCCAGACTTGGAGCTGAAGAAGTGCGGCCCAGAAATGCCAATGGTCCACTCACACACGCAGAAGTTGGCCTGCTCGCACCGAAGGACCAGATAAGGGCCTCCCCAGAAAGAACACAGAGCTGTCAAAAACTGGCGGCAGCTCAGCTGTCCTTTAGCAGCTGACAGGCCCTCTGCCCAGTCACCCACAGCTAGCATTGGCCTTCCGTGCCTGTCCCATCTCTCAGTAACCCCGTCCACCTCCGGTGCTTGGTCCTTGGTACTCTGCTGCCTCCATGCCTTGATGTGTGCCCTTCCTCCAGGGGAACACCCTCATGCTCCTGTGTCCAGGTAGCCTTGTGTATTCAGACCCATTGCAAATGCTCCGTCCCACACAAAGCTCCTCCGGACCCTGCCCTAGGACGCCCCCTCTCCCCTGCTCCTCACACCCAGCACAGTCTGCCTCTCCTGAGTCATTTCCTTCATAGCTGTCTCTCCAATGAGGTCTGCGCTGTCCAGTCCAGGGCACTAGCCACACGTGGCCATTTAAATTAAAAGAATGAAAATTGCGTGGCATTTAACATATGGGTCTTCAGCCTCACCATCAGCAGCCATACGGCTGCATTCTTGGTCAGTGCAAGCCTGGAGTGTTTCCATCACCCCAGGAAGTTCGGTGGATGGCGCTGCTCCAGGCTGAGCAGCTATGCACAGTAAGAGCCACGCACCTACCGGCTCTCCGCCCAGAGCTGTCGGACAGAACCCAATGGAGGAAACAGGAATGTCCTGGGGGCACAGGAGCGCGGGAGGGCAAATGCACACACCAGTCCAGCATCCAAATGGACACTCGTGGAGTCAAAGCCCCAACTCTTGACCTCGAATTGCTCCCAGGCATTCTGAGTTCACCAGAGCTCTTCTGGGTTCAGACGAGGCTGAGAGAGCCAACCATGCAGGCCAAGGGACGCCAGTAATTTTCCACCAGGCCACCTGGCAGGGCTCCTGAAAGTGCTGGGGAGAGCTCAGGTCAGTCCCGGAGCACTGGGCATGGCCCTGGGCACTGGCCGCCTGGGCTTGGCAGATGAGGTCGCTCCCCTTTCCTGCTGCCCCATCTCGTTCAGCAGGAAGCCTGGGCCCCTCCCTGAGGTCGCCTAGGGAGAGAGCTTTGCTGACCCTCAGCAGGGGCTGGACGCAGCACCGGGCTCCCTCTGTGGAGGGGTGGCGAGGGACTGCAGCTGCCACTGTGGAGTGACACCCGTGCCGCTCCATCCAGAGTCCAGGGCACCTGGATGCCAACTGCCCCCATTCGAGTTCCCCTCCAGCCTGGGGAAGTGGGCAGGCCAGGCCGATCCCAGCCTCTCCATCGGAGAGATTTGTAAACTGAGCCCGTGCATGGATTTCAGCGAGACCACGGCCCTTCAGCTTATTGGTAACAAAGTCACGGCTCGCCCTTGACTTGGAGCTGGGAGGGCCTCAGAGGATGCTCCAGGTGCCCGATTCTCTGAGTAGGCCCCCATTTCCCTGGGGTTTCTACAGGTGTCCATGAGTGTGTGTGCGGAGGTATGAGACTCCATGAGGTAACCCCAGCTCATCTTCCTGTTCCTAAGAAAACCAATCTCTATATGCGAAAGAGTACAACAGAAAATGGGCATTCCCGTCCCCAAAACTTCACCGGCTGTCAGAGCAGCGTGACCCTGGCTGCGGCCTCGGCCTCCCCGCCCTCAGCGCCTCTCGGATAGAAGGGCTCCCACGTTTCCCAGGCGGGGAGGTGGAGGTTCGGGCAGAAGCCCAAGACTCCTCATTATTTTCCGATTACTGATCGAGTCCTTGCGTGTAAGGCAAGGTGCCCTGGTGGCGCTGTGGGTGAGGCACTGAGCTGCTGACCACAACGGTTCAAACCCATCCGCTGCTCTTGGAGAGAAAGAGGAGGCCATCTGTGCCCCCAAGAGGTTCCAGTCTGAGAACCCCCCTACAGGGTCACGGTGAGTTAGCATCGACCGATGGCCGGGGGCCTGGTTGGCTCCGGTGTGTC